CTTACAGACTGAAATGATCAGAAAGTATAAAATACAAAACTGAATCTAATATTCAATTAATCAGTTACAAAAATTTTTCACGATCATCATTTTTGAGCTTAAAAAGCATAAAAAATCTAATCACCAATAACCCGTGTATAATTCGACCCCCCTACTTTATGGATGATTTTTAGGGTTAAATTTCTAGTATTATACATGAATAAATTCAGTAAATACAATAAAAATTAAACCAGTATTTAGAATAATTATCATTTTGATCCATACATTGGTAATGTGTGACTGGGCCTCGTGCTACTTTACGTTCAACAAATTGGGCCCCGAGCTCAAAAAGATTAAGATCCCCTGATTTAAAGAAAGCAACGTATGATCTGTGTCCTGACACAATTTGTTGCTGATTAAGTCAGAGATGGAACTTTCCAAGCCTAAAAAAGGTCACTTCCTGTTGTCAGGGTCTTTGATGATGTCATATGACGACATCAGGCATGCAACATGGATGACTCATACCACGTTTGGTGTATTTTTTTAGCCTTTCTATGTGAAAGTTACAGCTTTCTGAAGCTGTAACAGATAGACGGGCGGACTGAGAGCATTTTGAAGTCCCTGCCTGTGTGACAGGACAAAAAGGTCATAAATATTCATTTCTTACATAAGCTATACTTAGGATGAATTTTCCTCGTGTGTCCAAAGAATATTCCTTCTTTCCACTTTCCACACCAAAGATGTTGACTTTACCATGATGGCTTCCTGTGGCGATGTGTTTGGAGTCGGGTGAAAAGGCGACAGACCACGCATCAACTAAACAAGGAGAGGAAGAAGAGTAGGATAGAGGAAAAAATAAACATCCAACAAAAAGCTGTTCGGTCCAACTACTGCATCAGTTTGTAACATTTATAATGTTTTATTTATAACGCATTCCATTAATTCTCAGCCTGACACAGTCAGACCACATCATTTCTAACAGCCTTTACATTTGTCACATGACAGATTCAGAGCCAGAAATTAAAGTTATTAAAGTGTAAACCTAAAAACTCATCCTCAGTTCTTTAAATCAACCCTACCTGGTCCAGCGTCCATGGACTTGATCTGTTTTCCTGATTCCAGGTCCCAGAGGCGGATGTGTGCATCCAGGGAGCTGGAGGCAGCAATGGCTCCATTATGACTAATGTCCACTGATACCACCCCCAGCTGGTGGCCCTCCAGCGTCCACTGCAGCTCCAGCTTTTCATCACACCTGCATGAAGAATAGCTTTCATCTTAAAACTAAAAAAATAACTTTTACATGATTTTTCCATTCATTTAAACAAAGTTTCACTAATGAAACATCTAAAAGGTGCAAACGTATCTGGAAAAAAAAAATCCAACTATACGAACAGAATGTCATATTTGATGTAGTATGAACATTTTCTCCAACTTTAGGAGTTCCAGCATTTGTCAAAATGTGAGACTTTTCTAACTTTTAATACGGAAAAACACATGAATTATGCAAACGTGTTAAATGTAACAAGAAATGCCTGAGATACCAAAAACAATGTTGGAGCCAAAGTAACTTTTGTTCCTAAATCCTACAGTATTAACACCCACAATGTAAAACAAGAACCTCTCACCATTTCCACACTTTCACCATATCATCAAGAGAACCAGTGACGATGGTTTCAGAGCCGTCCACTTGGCTTTTTCCCCACGCTGCTGTCCAGATGGCATCATCATGGGCTACAAAGAAGCAATGGAAAAAACATAGAAGAAAATTAAATGTAAACTTAGAAGTCCATGGGGTGGGTCACAGTGCAGTGCAACATCCCCCACTGAACGTACAGATTTAATCAAACCCCAGGGGCTTTTCTTGAAGTTTGTGCTTCAAAAAGCCTGTCTAAATGTAAGTGGGTGTATCTGAGCACCTAAAAACACCACATAAATACCCCTGATATCAAAATAAAGCTAACACTTGGTAGATTTCATCAGGAGTGTCAGTATCACATCATATACTTTTGTTTCAGACATACTGAGGATGGAACATAGAAAAAACAGCTTTTTTCCCCTCGCCTGAGGTTTTTCTGCATTATACAGTATATAAGCTTTTCAAAAGTACAATGAATGAGGCTAAAAACTCTTGGAAACCATGAATCCACTTATGGACATTACCTGTGTAAAACCTCCTGCTGCTGAAGTAAAATACAACAAAGTTACAGAGGTTTAAAATATTTAGGTGTTTTTTCTTGTGGCACAGATTGGTACATTTTGGCTCCACCTACAAAAGT